ATTGATTTTCTTAATCTTATCCACGAAAAACATGCATATTTCTCGCATCTTACTATGTTTCGCAAATACCATAAACGCCATCAGACGTCTGTGTGTATCCTCCTCTTTTAGGCACGTGACGCCTGTCTGAAGGAATTCCTCAATTAGGGCTCTATTTATTTTTGGCACTTTTTGTATTTTGCGGAAGACGCGCAGGAGTGGGTACGTTACCACAGGTGTGCAATCAGTCGAGTATTCGCCTGGTCGGGAGTTCTGCCTGAAAGCGGACGCAACAATATGTATCTGTTGTCTTGTTAAGTTCCTAACCACAAATACCTAAATGAAACACATATTCCACGGGTAACTACAAGGACCGACTCTGTTTGCAGGATTTTTGTGTGGGAATTCCCCGTATATCCCGACACCCCTCTGTGCAAGTGGTACTAACCCGATAGAGCAACGCTCGAGTTCCGCGCTGAAGTGTGTTGGAGTTGGTGGTCTGATCTGCCGGTAGGCTGGAACTTTCGTTGGATTTATACTCATCGAAACAGGCAATGCACCATGGCTGCCAGGTAAGGCATGCTTCAAGTTATATTAGACTCGTATCTACCGCCATTTTTATCGAACACAATATTACAAATTTCTTTGCTTTTTTTCCTCGCAGCCAAAGTTTATGTTTGATTTCGCTGACCACGCTTATGTTCGTCGCACCGTGCATGGCTTATACAGGTTAGTTATTGGCATTTGTAATCACTTTATTCACGGCGATATATATTCCTAGTATTGTATGCAGAGAGGTCCAACGGCACAGTGTGTCATGTATCAGCACTATAAATATCCCCGGAAGCTACTCGCTAGAGATGAAACTTTAGATTTTTTTTTTGCTGAAGTGGGTGCTAACTCAGTCAAAATATTTTAGTGTTTAGTTCTTTAAAAAAACCGCAAAGAATTCAGCTTTTGTGCACGAATCGATATTTCGTGCCTCTCCAAATATTAGTTCGGCGTTTGGCTAAATAGTTGCTTAGCGGCGGAATGTATCCCTTTAAAGAAAGTAATTGCACCGCCAGACAACTTCAAGATGGCGTGTTGCGAAAATTTACGAGCAAGACCAGAGTAGAGATCAGCGTTTACAGCTACTCTCACAACCCCACGCCGTACATTAACGTGTATATGATATCACTATCTGCTACCGTGCTGTATCGGGACAATTCATCGTACAGCACTGCTTATGTGGGTGGTGTTGTACTTTTTTTTTTACGTTTACTTGATATCTCTGAATGCGTTGGTGGTGGTACAGCTCGGTTATGCCACAGTCACACGCGTGCGCATTGTGCGGACTTTGATACGTTCTGTGGTACAAATATTTACGATTCGTATAGTCAATCTCTTTAAAAGAAAGACCATAATGTTTTTTTTTTCACGTGTGAAAATGGTCTCTCGCGAGTACGACCACGAGTTTAAGGGCGACCAGGGACCACAGTCTTTCTGAGCACTTCCTGGACTGTTCGTCTTCCGGTCCTCAGATCGAGCTCCAACGTGGTGTGCAGAGTAGATCCGGCAAACAACCTTGGTGGCAAACTCTGTTTTCGTTACCGAATGCGGAAGGATTTCAGCACGTGTAAACTTTGAGATAAAATTGTTTATAAAACCATGTACCCTTGCATTTATTTTTAACGCAAGCAAAATGACGCAGCGCTAGAACGACAATAAATCTCATTGAGTGAGTGGAGTCAATTAAGCATAAAACCTATTAAAAAAACTTCTTTTTTGAGAGTGATTATAGTTGTGATCCCACTGTAAGAGGTCAGAAAAAATAACCATGACTCTGCCCAAGTCTTTGAGTCCAATTCAGTGAAGTGCAAACTGTTTTTTATTCAAATTAATCACTGTTTTGTTTATATGCTAAAACCCTGAAGTTTTTAGTTTAGGGATTAGAGTCACTATTAAAACAGACATTGGCAGGAAGGAAGTAATACTGAATTTGGATGTCTGGATTTTTGGAGGACGTTTCCCCCCATCAGTTGTGGAAGGTGTTTCTCATTGTGCACTGGAGCATAGCAATCACTCAATTGCGATTGAAAAGAGCTGGAAATCGTGGGACAAAACACTTAGAAACAACACGTATCGCTCAAAGTCGACTTTGTAATAACAGTCGCACAGTGCAGCTGAAGTGTGTACAAGTGATTACAAATATGAGCTGGTCTTAATGGTATGACAGGGTAGCTTCCGCCTCATTTGACCCATGAACTTTGAATATTGGCTGAACTTGTGATGACCTGCTCATCCAAAATGTTTTGAGGATTTCGTAAGTTACTGAACTATTGAATGAAATACAAGTTCAGTGTCGAATATTTCTAAATTGTTGATTTCATTAATTTTGCTAGACCCCCACCCTCAATGATAAAATATAGTTATTTGTTGAAGTGATAGTTTAACTTTCTCCACTTATAAAAGTGCCTTTATTGCGAGATTATATTCATACTGGCAGGCAGCCAATGAGCACAGAATGTGTCTGGTGGCCTAATTTTTTTTTTCATCCAGGCATTAATAGGTTAATAGGGTTAATCTGAAAAATACTGAATATTAAGTGACTTCAGTATTTTCAACATTCTCTTGAAATTTTAAAGTAATTTTAAATTATGTTTCTATCATTGCTCTGAACCAATTATTGTTGTTTTCAGTTTGCTATATGGTCTTGCTGGTTGTGTACTCCCTGTCAGATTTTGTTATAAAACTCCTAACTGTGCAACAAAAAGGAATTGCCTAAGAGTATTCATTCATTTTCCTGTTCAAAACAAAAACAAAAAACGGTGGCATTTTTAATCTTTAATTTTTTCCACTTACATGTACAAAGTTTATAAACAGTATTTCATAAAGTTAAGATGGTTCCCATGGGAATGAGAAGAGATCTCTGTGAATGCATAAACTATTCTTCATCAGATTTTTACCTCTTTTTGTTAATTTTTGTGGTTTTAGTATTGATCGATGTGACCCTATTAATTTGTATAATATTGAATGAGTTTACACATAGATTTAAATCCCAGTGAATAAATGTTTTTTTTTATGTGAATGACATGATGCATAAATTAGCTCTTGTTGGATGTGTGAAATATGCATCTAGAAGCTGATACTCTTGGGTGTATGCTGGAATGGAGTAAATATTTGCATATCATTTGCATGTCGTTTGCATATTTTGCTCACCTAGACTATTTCCTATGTCTTTGACATGTTTTTAGTGCCTAGGAAATCCTGCAGACAAATTGATCATGATGACTACTTCACATATGGCTGATGGCTCAATGGGCTAAATTACAGCTCTTTCAACATCAGTGTCCACTCTACAACCTTGACTGAGATAATGTTTGATGAGAGTTGCTAGTGGAATACAGAGCACATGTGTACCAATGTGTACTCAAAAGTGACTTGGCTGGGAAGGGATTGCATTATAGAACATAAAATCGCACACAACCATCAAACACTGACACTCATTTTGCGCATGTGCGACGTTTGTGTTCATAAACGATGTTGATTACCTAATTAAAGCTTGGTAACCTCTTAGTTTGTTGGTGTGTGCAATTGTCAAAATCATCATCTTTGTTTATATGAGACCCATATCTCGCACATGCCCAGTGAGATGACAACTAACCATCCTTTAAGTTTTGAAATTAATGGCTTTTACAAACAGACAAAACAAATCTCACTTGGTGCCATGCCCTAACACTTCTTTTGTTGTAGATGTAGATTATGTGATTAGATACAATGCATCAACATAAAAGTGTAAACTGTCTTGGCTG